TCTCTTCCTACCATAATGATTCTATGATTTTCATATTGAAGGGAGTATATCTAGTTTTGGAGGCTTTTTGCTATGCATCTAGATTTTTATTTTTTTTAATTGATAAGGCATTACAGTATCACCAGATAAAGATTTATATTTTGGGAAATTTTTTTTTTTGGCGTTATGGGAGAGCAAAAGCAGAAGGGAACTTAAATGACTGAAATAACAAGTGCATTCTGGCAGAACACGATGTCCTAGGTACTAAGAGTCTTTGTTTCATAGTCTAGTTTCATAAACCAAAATATTAATAGATGTATTTATATTAAAATGAATTGCATGTAAATATCTCCAGAAATGGAAGAAAGTAACAGATCAACCTGTAATTCAGTGTAAGTAAAATGCAAATTGACCAAAAGGTAGAATTAGTGAAAGTAAATCAAATGCTTAATTTTACTGTTTTCAATCTGATGGGAAGTTATTCGCTAGCCATTTAAAAAAATTACTTTGAGTGTATCTGCTTAATGTTTAAAAGGGACATTCTAGACATTTAACTTCTTAATGGCCTTTACTAGGCAAATATCGTTGATTTGTACAGGATGATTTTGATTTTACATTGCTTTGCAATGTCATTTATTTTTTCTTATCACTTTATAATGGCAAATCAACTGAACACAAGAACTTCAAGCCAGTTAAATAATATTTGCACTGCTATAGCTTGTCTGAAATTTATAGTCAACTATTAACAGGCTTATAGTATCTACTGTCATCTTTTTATATGTTCCTTAGACTTAGAGTGAATTATCCAGTTAGGGTTGGAGGTTAGTGCATAAAAAATTGTTAAGGTTCCCATTTCAATTTGGCTTGTTAAATTAGTTTCCTATCTTCACCTCTGAGGTAGTAGAGGACTTGCTGAAAAATCTCCCTTTTGGATTTTTGGGTACTACGGTAATTTTTTTAAATGTGCCTGAATATGTTAGAAAGAAGGTAGAGTCCAGAACATGTTTTTGAAAACATATGCGAAGAGCAGAAAGAGGAAGGAAGAAATGAGCTAATTATTCCAGCTGAAGTTATCACTTAGTGAAAATGAAACTGTAGATTTTTTGAGATTTCTTTTATATCATTCCTGTTGAATAAAGCTGGTATTGAAGTCCCAGGCCTTCCTAAAAGGACAGTGGCAATTCCTTGGCAAGAAGCTCGGTTGTTGAGGGAACTGGGATGCTTCATTCCCTGTCTTGGGATGCTGTGGGATATGCCTGTTCTCCTTTCTTCAGCTTGCTGCTGCAAAGAGCCAGTATTCACTTGTTTTCCTTCAGTTTTTCCTTCAGTGTCCTTCCTTCTGTTCTTTCGCATGAGTATGGACAATCTGTTGCTTGTAACTTCATAAAGATGAGATTTGCTTATTTAATTTTTTTTTTATTTTATTTTTAGGAGCTAGTTTGAGCAATCAGAATGCTGCTACTGAAATGGAAGTTTTTAATTTCAAGTTCATAACACTAAGAAAAGCTGCAGAGGCATGACAACTAAAGCAATTTATTTGTGAAGGAGGGAAAATCATGTGTGGTAGATCATGTTTTGCAGGCTAGCATTGCAGTTCTTTAAGCAGTTGTTATGTTCTAGAAATTTTTGTCTTGGATTTAAGTGCTGTGAAAGGAAAAAGGTAATTGCCAGTTTCAAGGAAACTTTGTTTTCTGACTTTTAATTTCTGGCATCCTCAATGCAGTATGTTCTCATTGCATGAAAATAAACCAAAAGCATTTTTATGTGGTGGATAGGGAAGAGATCTCTAGTCCTTGTTTTTCCCAGAACTGCAGTCTTAGCCTGTTCGAGTGCCATGAACCTTTTTTTTTTTTTTAAGTTTGCTTTAATTTTGAACGCTTAAACAAGTACTGCCATCTGAAAAAAGCTATTTGTATGAGGTAACATTAAAAATTAAGGTATCAGCTGAGAAGCTGATACGCATTTTGCTAATGAAAAGTACCTTGTGACGTGTAGTAAGTTTGCTTTTCATTGCACTGAGTTCAAGCGTTCAAAGGCCTGATAGCGTATCTGCAGCCTTTGTTGAAAATGTTGACTGTTCATTCATGAATGATTAACAGGTTGTTTTATTTAAAGGCACGTATCTGCTTACTACTGTGTCAGTATAAAAACTATGTTCTGAAAAAGCTGTGTGTACAGTCCCTATTTAAAGAATGTTGTGTGTTGATCTTGGAAACTTTGTCCTGCCTGCGTGAAACTCTCTTCCTTATCAATTTGCAAGGGTTTAGTGCTAGCAGACTTTTCTGTGAGACTGAACTTAAATACGTCAGATTTCTGAAGCATTAAAATACAAAGCATTTACTGAGCTCAGGGAGAGGTCCTTATAGTCATAACATTGTCATAAAGTTAATGGACTGTACAATTTTCATTCAAGTTGTAGCATCATAGAAGTATTTCTGCTTTGTAATTTTTCTTTATCACTTTTCTAGCAAAGTCTTTCACTGTTCTTAGCAGGAGAAAGCAACATGAAAAAGTCTGAAATCCATATCCAATAGCAAATGAATGTTGAAATGTTTTGAGTACAAGGCATTTTGTGTGTACGTGTAAGGGCATGTTGAAGGACGTGTTCTTGTGATTCTAATAGTGAGAAGACAAGGAGTCTCTCTTGGTAGATTTAATTCCATGCTTATGAGCATTTGGAGCTTGTTAGTGCAAAAATGAAACTCGGGGAGTGAAGTTCTAGCTGGAAGTCCTCATGTACATACAGAGCTGCTTAGTGTTTAGCATGTATTTAATTTTTATTTAACTGCATATGTCTGGTTTTGGGAAAACAGCCATGGAAGTGGTCAGAAACTATTTTGATCTAGGTAATGCTTTATCTATTCAGATTTGTACATTGATAATGAGTAGTGGGTTTGGTAAATGAAAGGAACACAGTTAAATTAATATGCTTTTTGGCTTGAAACTGTAAAGGTTTTTGCAGGACATGGTCTTGAACAGGAGCTCTACAGGGAGATCTGGTGGGACCTGCCCCTCCGCGGGACTCTCCTTCCCAAGGTGGGGGCGGGACAGGATCGACCTTCCTGCCAACACTGGTGTAGAAAGTACGTGAAAGTTAATTTCAGGAAACCTTGAGCTTTCTAAAAGCTGTTTTTCTCATCAATAAATGAGAAATTCTTCACAAAATTAGCCACAATAAGGTTAGGTGCTTTTGAACTGAGCATTATTGTAGACACAACAACATACCTCATTGCATAGCTTGAGGTATGAGGAACTATTATTGTGTGCTACGTGGTTATTTCAAATAGCTCCTGATAAGATAGCTGTATTCTTCAAAGACGTACTTATGAGCTAAGCTGTGTGTTGTAGTTAGATTGTTGGCTTTGCATTATGCTTTGCTGAAAGCAGTAACTTACAGGTGCCTTTCAAAAATCTTGTAATTCTCCCTGAAAAATCTGTCGGAAGAGAGAGCAACAGGGAATGAGAGTAGCTGGAGGCTTGGATGGCAGGACAGTTAGCGGTCTTGTTTGTTGTTCAGGACTTTCTCTTCTGGCTTTCTCTTGAAAACCAGAAATCAGTGTATTGAGTTTGGAAGTACTAAGCATTCGGGAGAAAACGCCTCATTAGTCTTTCATATCAGGTTACTGTTTTAAATTTAACTAGTATGCTGCCTGCGTTGTGTGGCAGTATGTTGGTTGTGAGCCTCCAGTGTTGGCTTAGCACATACACGTGCTGCAGTTTCGTCTGGAGTTGTTCTGGTTATAATGCTGAAACCATTGAAAACCTCAGTATGAAACCTCTGAGCCATATTCCTATGTCTTGCCTGAGAAAATGTTCTGTGACACAGAATGCTCGATATAGTTTTTAGGCTTTCTATTTGGAAAACACTTTATTGATACACAGAACTGTTCTTTTAATAATGGCACTTCATTGTCTTAATTGAAACAAAAAAGCAACAGGCAAACGCAAGCCAGACACCAGAGCTGCCTTATTGTCTTGTGTGGAAGAGTAATTTTAGGAGGACAGGAGTGTTGTGCAAGCCACCGGCCTCCTGCTGCAGCAGCCAGGGTGCTCGATGGTGCTGCTTCTGCCATTTCCTTGAAATAGAGGAAGAACCTGAAGGTTTGTGAATTCCCTGGTGCAAGTGTATGTTTGTTGCTTCAAATGACAAGCCCTGTGGTTTAATGGCAGGACAATTTACATGGGAAATGCAGCTCTGCAGGATGATTGGGAAACGAAAGCAGAAACTGTGCTCTTGAATGAGAAGACCTCAAGGTTACTCTCCCAGCATCCCAGGGAATCGAGGTTCATCCCTGAAGACAGTGGGGTGATGCTTTGTTCCTAGTAGCATTCTTTATGCTGTTAGTGCTCTCAAGAGCAACTCTACCAAAGGCAGCCATTCCACCCTTCTCAAAAAAAAAAAAAAAAAAAAAAAAAAGAAGGCAGGGATGGACGCCTTGCATAGCAGAAAAACAGTCTTCTACTGTTCATCAACAGATTTTTTTCCTTTGAATTAGGTAGAGGAGAATACTAATTGGTTTTGGCGCTCTGATTTTGCCAGTGCTGCAATTCCCCTGTCCCCCTCCACCCTTGTGGTTTGTCTTAAGCATAGTGTACTCGCTATATCTAGTAAGCTGTGTTTTCCTTTTTAAAGGCGCACAAAACAAGTCCGTGCCTGTTTTAATCTCATTAAGTTCCCCTCTAGCTATTTCCCCTTTTGGTTGTGGATATTGCCCATATTTGGTTCTAGCTATGGTGCAATCAGTTTATATCTGATTGTGTGGTATGATATGTTGTCTTGCCTGAGCAAACCCCCATAACTTATGATTAGATGTGGCCTAGATTAGCAGTTTATGATTTTAATGTTTAAAAGTACATTATAAAAGATCTTTTATGTAATGCAATGTGTTATTGCAATATGCTATTTTTTCCTGTGAAAGATGCAACAAGAGGCACAAGGACTTGCCTGCAGCAAAGCTTCTGAATTAAAACTGAACAGGGGGAAGGGATGGTATAAATTATATAGTTCCTTCCTTTGGAGTGCCTAAATAATATGCCCTAAAACACAGAGATGGCAGTGCATTACCAGGAAACTCTTCAGTTTGATTTAATAACAAGCTGCTTTCATGATCTCATAATCACAGCTCTTGTGAAAACACATGCTTTTATATTCATCATGGTGTGTTTTATATACTAGTATTGCACTTTAAAAATTGAACACCTGAAAATGTATTTCTCTCCTAAACACTTCAGTGGCTTATTTGAAAGTACGCATGGTTTCAATGAGTGCCCTGGACTTTTAACCATGCTTTCTGCTGACCTTCATCTAAGCAAACTATTTATTAGGGAGAAATTGTCATTAGTCTTTTGTTTTCTTGTAGATACTTGTTGTTCTACTTGTGTGCGTGTATATGAATAAAATTAGGTGGATAAGAATATCCACTGAATTTCTGTAAGAGAGTGATAATCAGAACACTTGGTAATGTTGCTTAAAATATTTTTAAATAAGCATCTGTTTGGAAAGGCATGCAGGTAAACCGTCCAGGTGTTTTCCAGTTTCTTAGTCACAACATTGTGCTTGTCTTTCCGACTGAACTGTCTGTTTAGGTCTTCCTGAGAAGATAAAAGTGCTGCTTTACATTCACCATCATCTGTATTAGCAGTGAGGGGGAAAGGTTGGGGAATCATCTTTGCCGAACAAGTGGCATCTCTGAAATGCTGCGTTTTGCCTTGAACAAGATCACATTGCTTGCAGTTCCTGAGCAATGCTTGAGCAGTAAAGCTCAAGTTTTTCAACAAAGCAAGCATATAATTATTCTGATGATGATTCCAGTGTATTTCAAATCCACTGTAAGACATAATTATCAGCTGTCATCTGGGAAATGCTGAAAAATTGTTTCAGCATTAAATAAATATAGCTTGTGATATCTACCTTATAGTTAACAATCTAATGTCTTCATTCCCCAGCATCTTGTGGCTGTCCTTTGTGCTTTTGTACTTAACAACAACAAAGGGAGTTTGTTGGTTTGTTTTACTACTGTAATATATTCTGATTTGTAAGGGAGCATTCTAAAATTCATTTGCTCTTTAACAATACATTTCTTCTCTCAATAGCCAACTACTCCACCAAGCCAAGGGAGGCCTGATTCACCAGTTTATGCTAATTTACAAGAACTGAAAATATCTCAGTCTGCACTTCCACCACTACCTACAAGTGCTCCGGTCCAAATAAATGGGGAATGGGAAACCCATAAAGATACGACAGGACGCTGCTATTACTACAACAGAGGATCACAGGAACGAACCTGGAAACCTCCGCGGTGGGCCCGAGATGCAAGCATTAATAAAGGGGATTCCCAGAGCCATGCAGATCATGAGGTAGTTCCTTCTGAGATCACAAGCAATGAGATTGTCATGCCTATGAATGCTGTCTTGCTATGGAATTTGGTATCACTGAGTTTCGAGGTGTCAAGGAGTGTCGTCGTTTGTCTTTTTGGTCATGTGTCGTGGTATGGAGTAGTAAACAATTTAGCTCTTCAGTTGCTTTTGTATACATGAACTGTGTACAAGAGTAGTAAGTTTTAAAAATACCTTACAGTCCCTCAGCGGGTATTGCAGCTTTTCTTTTAAAGGTGAAGGAAAACTTAAGATATTTTGAAACTAACAGGGCTATAAATGACAATAGAATAAGACAACTGTCGTAACTTCTCTGATGTGAAGTGCGTTCTCTTTCCCAGTGTATTTGGCACATTTTTGGGGGAGAAGGAGGGGGAAAGGAGAAGGAGTGTGACGGTGCTTCTAGAAGCAGGATTTATGGGGATGCGTTGAACAAGGCAAGGGGAATTATTTATTTTTGTCAGTGTCAGTTAAATACACAGTAAAATAAAGGCAGGGGATATACAGGTGTTTGCTACTGCTTGGTTAATGCTGTGGCAGTAAATGTGAGATGTCTTTCTTAGAGGAAAATATTTTTGTAGGGAAGAATTAAGATGGATTTAGAGATTAAGATGGATGTAGAGAATTCCAGAGTTCTGGTGTCGAAACCAGACTTAATGGAGTTCTATAGCACTTGCCACTCACATCAAAAATACCAACATAATTGAAGCTTCTATAAAATTAAAATATATTGATTTTTATTTTCATGCTTGGATTTGTACGTACTATTAATAATTCTGTATATTCTATGATACTTTTAAAATGTGGTTGTTTTTTTTTTTTTTTTTTAGAAAGGGGCATACATGACTATCCAAACTCAAATTTTATTTAATTCATGAATTCTTAAAGAGGTGGAATAATCATAGTGAATATAAAAAGAAAGTTTAGCTGGAAAACTTGTTGCAGCATTTTATTTGACCGTTTGCTTAGGAGATTTGAATTTATACACTTGTCAATGATTTCTGCCTTGGATAGCTGTAGAACAAACTAGGAGAAAGGGCAGTTAAAGGAGGAATACTTTGTTATCAAATTGTATTAACTTTGAAAAAATCCTTTTCTTCATTCTGTAAGTGTTATCCTAGAGAAAAGATGAGAATATTAAAATTGTTGTGCTAGAAGCTCTACCTAGCCAAGTGTCTAGGTCCAAGGGTAGCAAACGCTGATGGAGGGAGGAAATCTACCCCAGCTTTTGGCAGTCAGCCATAGGAACATTTGACCAGCTTATGTCCAGGCCATAAGCATGATCTTTAGATACATCAATGGATTTTTTTTTTTTTTTTTTTTCCATTACGCAAACCTTTTGCTTTTGCAAAATGTTTTGGCAAAGCTTTGCCACAGACGTTGCTTAAGAGACTTGAAGCTTACCATGAAGTTATGTATGTTAAAGGATGATTTGGGCTAATATTTGAGATGCAGATATTTTTTGTGCATCCAGTCTCTGGGGAGAGCCAGCGAGTGGTTTGTATTTATCTGAATTGCAGTGGTTCAGATAAAGCAAAGGAATAGTTGGGAGATGGATATTACTATTTAAATATGCTTAAAATAGTGCTCTTCTGATCAAACCGTACTTGGGTTAATCAGTTGCCTGATTGAAAGAAAAAGCAAACATTTATCAAGAAATCTTCTACGTATTTAACTTTTATATACCCTTTTCAAATATGTATTGTTTAGGTGGATTTCCTCCTGAGCCTATTACAATGTTTAGTTTTAAAATTTAATTGTGGACTGCTCAAAAATTTTGGATTGCTGGAAGTCCTGTCATAGAAGTTTACCTCTGGGACATTAGTGCCAGAAGCAGGAGAGAAAGGAAAAAGGGATCCTTTCATTGCCTTTGGCAATGGTCTTCATAGCAGCAGTGACATCCACAAGCATTGAAACAGCCACATTTTCTTGCCACAGGCTAGTGGCAGTAACAGGTAAACTGGTGCAGTGTTTGTGGCTGTCACTTTGGTATCTCTGATGACAGTCTATTAATTTATCACTGGCTGTCCTTTTACTGGGTAAGACTTTTGGTTTTAGTCAGGATAAGGCAATTGCTTTTTTGAGCAGTAACTCCCCTTGTAGTAAGTGTAACAGGTTTTCTGTTGTCATCATTCTTCCTTGTTTTCATAGAAGGACTTCCAGTAATTCTGTCTCCCTCCCTCCTCATGCGCAAATGATCCCTCCGACTCTTACTCATACCTCTGTACCACAACCTCACCATATGGTTGCATGTTCAGAAAGCTTGATTTTTTTTTTTAATAATTTTTTTAATTGCCCATAACTTATTTCAGCTCAGATCTTCTGGGTTTTTTTTTTTGTGATGCTTGAGATACTGCAGATTTGCCTTCGGACAGTTATATCTGTCAAGTTTTCAGTCTTTGTAAGACCAATGGATGATGCATATTTTGATTAATTTTTAACTAGACACAAGTTTATATTTCCAGTAGCACAAGTTCTGTAAGTAATATGTGTCCTCTCTGGCTGGGTAGTCGAAGTTTGAGTCTAGAGAGATAAATGTTGCAAGGCCATGTCAATCTACTTTCCAGCAGTCATGTGTTGATTTTGAAGCTGCCTTCCCTCCCGCTTTCTTTTCTGTTCTGCATTTGGGGGTGTACTTCGCACTCCACTGCTCGCGTTCACCTTTTCTTTTATGATCTCTGAGTACTTTAAACCAAAACACTTAGAGTAAAGGTTGAGATCCAAGCCTAAGCTACAATAAAATATAGGAGATCCCAATTTTTTTCTGATTATGAAGACTTAGAGCAAATATGTCCTAATAATTAGTGAAAACAGATTTAATTTATTATAATGAAGTTAAGTTGGCTTTTACACACTAGTCTGAGTTATGCTTATTCCCTTCAGAGTTAGTTATAAAAAAGCATATGCAGGAAGGTTAAATGCTAGTTGTATCTCTATTGATTTGTCTTCAGAGCAGCTTGCATTTTATTAGGTAGCAAAATGGCAAGGTGATGTAAAACTGAGAACTGCGAATGATCATATATTCTAATATATATGCAATATATTAGAACATGAAATAACTTATAGTTGGTCTTAGAACTTTGTGAGTAGGAAATTGAAGTTTATTGAATAATTAAGTAGGGGCAAAATTGTACCTAATTTGTCAAAGAAGTTGGTAATGGATATGGTACAAAGGAAACAGTTGTAGGTTACGGCAGTTATTTGGAGGGGGTTGGGGTCAGCAGTGAAGTCCTATCAACAGGGCCTCTAGGAAAGTGTGTAAGATTTTGGAATTGCAGGTAAAACTTGTCAGAGGTAGTGAATTGTTAATGTATTTGAGGAAGGAGTGCTTAACAGTAACTGAGAGAAATTTGTCAGATAGTGAAATGTTTTAATTAAGGTGGACTGTAAAAGGGATGAGATGTCACCATATCCGAGAAAGGCAAACCTCTTAATGCCTAGCTAGGTGACATAATGTGAAGTAGAGACCAACACATTAACCAGCAAGCTATAGAAGAGCAACAGGATTTCATTTAAATTGAAAACTACATTTAAAACATGTGGCCAAGAGGCAATTCCATTCCTGATTTTTTGTTTCAAGATAAACAAAGGTAATTAAGGGACACTACCTTCTTTAATTAGTATTCTTTATTATTTTGATTTTTTTTTTTTTTAAAGAAGTAGGAGTAATTTTCAAAACTAGGCTGGTTAAGTGATAGAAGAGAGACTGTAGGTGTTCCTTTTTTTTATTAAATGCATGGTGATGAACTGATCTCTGCCCTCAAGAATATTCTGGGTAAATGGGAAAAAAACCAAGAAAGACAGTATAAACGATGGTGTTGGGGACCTTTTCTGTAATTCCTTTCGGTGTCACGGCAAATTTCTTACAAGGTGTAAGGTTGGGCAGCTGTCTGCCTAAGATGGCTTTATTTAAATGTGGTATAGTGTAATTGAGGATGGGGCTCTGAGAAAAAGCATGCATGATACATAAAAAGCCTATATGCAGTTAATACTGAAAAAGTGTTGAAAGTTAAATTGAAAGCTGCTGAACGTGGTTTGGCCAGTGTTCTCTAACCCCTGTTGATGCAGCTTTAGCAGTTGTTCCTACTAGCTATGGGGCAAGAAATGCCTTGGCTTGGTAAACTTTGTAACAACTCAGGAATTTCCTTTAAGTTTAGGTCTGCAAAGGTATGTGAGATTAGTTAAACCTTGAAGCATCAAGACTGTTTCTATATGGGTGCCTTAGACACATTAACAGTAACTTTTACTGAACAACATTGTTTTTTCTAGGAGAACTTTCATTTTTTAGTCTTCTGTTTAGTTTTGTATGTGTACAGTGTTTCGTCAGTATCAGGAGTTGCTTGGCAGAGGCAAATACAAATGCATTATGTTATTTGGTCATAATTCCTGTTAATAGTTAATAGTCTACTACTTTGCATGTATGTCACTTAATATTTAACCATTAAAAGATAATGTAAACTTAAATATGTGTATACAATATAGCTATCTTATAAAACAGTAGTTCAAATAGGGCCAATATCTCTCTTATCAACTCCTCAGTCTTAATTCTTCAAGTGTAAAAATGGGACTGAGGACTAAACCCTCCCCCCCCGCCCCCCTGCCCCACGGTTAGAAATTGAAGATTCAGAATTTCATGTTACCCCATGTGCAAGTGAGGTAGCACTGTTTAATCCATAGTTTACATGCTCGAATTCTATAGGCTGTAGAGGACCCTACATTTTTTCATGTTACATTGTTAATGACATGAAAATTTCCCATGGGTTTTTCTGTGCTTGGTAAGCTGGCTTGTGTCAGCATAGGGAGTTTGTGTCACACAAGTGGTAAGGTACTCAGAAATGTAACACCAAAACCCTATATAGTAGTTATTTGGAAATATCACTAAACACCGTAGTCTCTAAAACCACTGATTTTTTTGTTGTGGTTTAACCCCAGTTGCGAACTAAGCCTCACAGACTCGCTCGCTCCCTTCCTCCCTCTGCCCCCCCACCCCTTGTGGGATGGAGCAGAGAATCAGAAAAGTAAAACTGAGAAAACTTGTGGGCTGAGATAAAGACAGTTTAATAGGACAGAAAAGAAAGAAAATAATAATAATAGCAATAATAATGATAATAATAGAAGAATTAGAATATACAAAAGAAATGATGCACAATGCGGTTGCTCACCACTTGCTGACGGATGCCCAGCCAGTTCCTGAGCAGCAGCCACCGGCCAGTTTTTCCCCAGTTTACATACTGAGCATGACGTCATATGGTATGGAATATCCCTTTGGCCAGTTTGAGTCAGCTGTCCTGGCTGTGTCCCCTCCCAATTTCTTGTGCTTCTCCAGCCTTCTCACTGGCAGGGCATGAGAAGCTGAAAAGTCCTCGACTTAGTGTAAACACTACTTAGCAACAACTAAAAGTGTCAGTGTGTTATCAGCCTTATTCTCATTAAATCCAAAACACAACACTATACCAGCTACTAGGAAGAAAATTAACTCTATCCCAGCCAAAACCAGGACACTTTTAAAAACCGGTGAGTTTCTGATACTGGGATATTTTTTGGTAAGATTTTTCAGGAGAGAATTTTTTCCTAGTTTAAAATGGAAGTTCTGCTTTTTTCCTGCTTTCTAGTTTTCCTCAAAACCCTTATACTTGTGTTATTGAACCTTAGTCAATATTTAACTATCGTAACTTCTGAATAGCAGGGTGTGTTTCCCTCTTAAGTGTTATGCCTCCTGCTAGCTGAGGATCCAAGATGGTGTGAAAGGAAATCTGCAGGGAATTCCTCAGGAGGCCCTGGCGTAGAGATGTTGTTGTGGGAGATGAATGCAGGGAGATTTTTTTTTTGATGCATGGAATGGATGCTTGGAATAATACTACAATATGTTAGCAAGGAGATGTGCAAAGTGTATGAGGAAACAGAAATTGTTTGGGGTGTGTGTGCAAAATCTATTTTCTACTTTACACATCAAACTTGTTCTTTACATTATAATTCACTTCTACCTTCAGAAAATAATCTTACGCCTCAGCTAGCTGTACCTGGTAGAAAGTCTTGCTTTTGCATTGCTCATTGTCACAAGCATCAGAGTTGGAAGGAGAGTGGAAATTCCTAATATTTTAGGATGCATTACACAAGTACTGTAAAGTACTGGGACCTACAAAGGTTCAACTAGAGTTTCAAGTTGTCCTTGATGATTGTCCTGTTTCCAGATACTATTTGGGAAGGGAATGAAAGGGTTCAGGTACATAAGGTGGGATGTTGCCAGGAAACCAAGGTAGCAGTTCTCGCAAGTTTTCTGAGGCAATGCACATTACTAAAGCTAACTTTCTTCATCATTCAATAATGTAAATTTGTTGGAATAAAATTTAGATTGGCAAAAAAATTCAATTTAAATTTGAGTAGCTGAAATCTAGTATAGTAGAACTAAAAAAAAATTGTATCAGTATAAACCAGTTGTTCTGAAAATGCTTTCAATTGCCTAGCAATTATGAAATATATCTGCACTGTGAAAATACATCTCTTATTCTTGGATGTAAGATATAAAAATGTGAACTCCCTGAATTTATTACTATTCTCTTTCTAGTCAAATAATCTTTGATCTTTCAGATTTTAAAACGCTTTCATTCTCAAAACTGCCTTGTATGTTTCTGACTACTTGTAGCATCTTTCATCAGAAGAGAACGACCACAGTTCTTGTTACAGCCAGTCAGATAGTCAGTATGGTTCTCCTCCAAAGGGTTGGTCAGAAGAGTTGGATGAACACGGTCAAACCTTATATACCAATGACTATACTAATGAAAAGGTACTTTTTCCTTCTTCTCATCACGTGTTCTAAATCTCTTCCCACTAATTCATTGTTAGAAATGCAGATATCTCAGCAGTATCTCCTTTTGTTTTTCAAATATGCATGAAACTTTAGCAACTGAACTGACTTTTTTTCCTTTGTGTTCATTACCATTTAGAGAAAAATTTTCTTATTTCCAGTTGGATGTCAGATTATATTAAACAAACATATAATGTATAATTTTTTTAATTCCTGCCCTCCCCCGTCCTCTTGGTTACACTTCAGGAATGAACTTCATACCAATATAATGGTTTTCTTACTGTCTTAAGAGCTGTTCTCGTCTACATAGGCCTTCCAGTTAGGATGGTTTCGAACTGAAAATAATGCTACTTTATCAGTTTCATCCTTTACTGGAGATTTTTAGTACTGCTTTCAGATGTAGACAATCTTCTTAATTAAACTACAGCCATATCAGCAGATTTATGTTCTATTCCAATTATCTAATTGCTACTGACAACTTACTGTGATTCTAAGCTTGTCATAAAAATTTCTCCCAGCTAGGATAAATAACAATATTTGTTTATATTTGTAAAGCAGTCCATTTTTAAAATTGTTCACTAAAGTTGCATTTTGGGTTTTTTAACTTCAAACTACTGAACGCTTTTTGTTTATCATATTATAGCACCACCTCTTCTCTAGTTGTTGTATGCGAGTGTTTTTTGAAAGTTTTTAAATAATTGAATTTTATGTCTGTTTTGGAATTTTATCCTACTTAAATCTATTTCTGCTAAACATCTGTAGAGCATATACCCATGTTTTGGCAAATATGCAACCTTTTTCTTTTAAATGGCACTGGGATTGATAGAAAACCATGTTTCCTGTAACAAACAGTTTATTGGAAGGCAATCTTGTGAAACCTGCTTGACCCAAGAGCCTTGCTGCGAGTGTTTCTGTGCACATTTTTGTGCGATCTTCTTGTAAACTTTTGCTCATTGCAATTCTTTCCTTTCTGCATGACTAGTGACAGTTGTCATAGTTTTACTTCTTTGATTGGGAGTGTTGCTTATAGAGGTTACAGAAATTATATTATCCTCTGCATGATTTAGTTAGGAACTGCATCTCATATTCCTGTTTATGTTTTAAAAAGGAGTTGTTCAACAAGTGCAATTATCTCTTAAATTATCAGCAGTTGCTGGTTGAGCTTCTTGTAATTTTGTGATTTTATGTATAAAATCCTTATGCACATCTGATGCAAAGATTGTGCCTCCTTAAACTGACACTATAATGTTGATAAGATTGAGATATACCATCTTCTAAAATACCTGTTTATCACAATCTCTTCTGTGTGATATTGCAGGACTATTTTCTGAGGAGTTATGGAAGGTAAAAATATTAGTGAACTCAATTCAGAAAGCTGAAAACTGTGTTGCTGTCATTGCTAACTAACCTTGGTTAATGGAGGCTGTGCAGTAGACACTGCTGAAGTGGATGGCACTTTATTAAAAATTAACTTTAAATCCCAAGTATCAGAGATTTACTTTGTTGGGACTGTCACTCTGATTACATTTCCTGTCATCACATTTCTTTTTACAGTGGATAAAACATGCGGATGAACAAGGTAGACCATACTACTACAGTGCTGATGGTTCCCGGTCCGAATGGGAGTTACCTAAGGTGAGTGACCTAAAAAAGAAGCCTTTGACAACTTGGGACTCCTCCTCCATAAATGTTCTATGGGGTCTTTAATGGGAGTTATTCACAACAAGAGGACTTATTTATTGCACTTGGTTATTTCTTGCATTTTTGTGGGATTTCCAATTGTGAAGAGAAAAACATATACTCAAGGACGTGAAAAATGGATGTACGTAACTATTCAGATGTCAAAGAAGATTTGTATCTTTGCTGAACTGAGCTTTTCAGAGAAGGCTACAGAATAATATCTGTCAAAAAAATTTTTTTTTTTTACTGCAAAATATTCCTGAGAAATTGTACTTTAGTACCCTCCAAAATGCTTATATAGACAGCTGTTGAAAAATGAACGTTTCAGCAGAATTTTGTGGTATCTTTGGGGATGACACAGTTTCACCAGAAGTATGTTCTGATATTTATTCATTTTGTAATGAAAATAGGAATTTATAGGAAAGTGACAGAGCTAGGGACACTTGGTAGTCTGAGGAGGTACCTAATACTATTTAATTCTCATTTTCACTTTGAAAAAATGTAGGACATTTGTCATAATGATGTAGTTGTATATATCTTTCCTGCTATTAGGATGTTTGCTCAATCCTACATATTAAGATGACCATAAAAAAAAAAGTTTCACACAGAATTGCGTGCATAAGTATATGAAAGATCGTGTTTCTCAATTATTGTTTCATCAATCCAAAAATTGGTGTCCTAAGTCACTTCCACTTAGAAAGGATTAACCTTAATAGATAGTGCTTTCATAATATTTGTGAGAAAATATTTACATTGAAATTTTATGAATGAAGCTATATACTAGACTGTTTTGTTACATCAGTGAAAGAATTTGTATCCGAGTCACTGAAGAGTTGTTAGCTTTGTGAATTCTCCTGTGTTGGTCTGATGTGTTAGACAACTTAAATTTTGTAGCATATATAAACCTAACAATATAATCTGTAACTACTGGTTTTAAAAGTTACTTAGTTATTGATTAGCTATTGGATGAATTAGAAGTCTGAATACCTGTTAGACCAGGTTTTTAACAGAAGCAATTGTTAGTTCATTGAAGTTAGTAAATGAAGTTAATTTTGGGGAACAATTTCTTGGGTACTTCGTTCTATGACTTCTGCAGTGCAGAAAGTTTTGGCTATGAAGATGTTGCTTTCCACTAAAAGAGATTTGGGTTGAAGTTGAACTAAATAGTGAATAAAATTGGCTTTAATCCAACTACAATAAGTCACAAAGATAATTTAGAACTATTACCTGAGGCATATTAGCATAAAGAGATGGGTTCTAGTAGTTGTGTGTTAGTTATGATGTTCTAGTGGTTCTAAACAAACATCTGAGCTCCGTTGTATTAATAGCCACCTACACATTGAAACATAGCCTCTGTTTCAGAGCTTGTGATCTGATATGCTTTTGTTCTTGGTTATATGGAAATCATTACATCCTGCTGTTACCAGTTTTCCTTGAAAATTATTTCTCATGAGCCATTAGGGAGAATGTAGTCTAATTCCTTCTTGAAACTGGTAAACGTTGAGTGAAAACAACTACAGGGTTAACAGAAGTAAATGAGCAATTGACTCATGGATTCATGATCCAAGAGCCTATGTATTTCCAGAAATCCTTAGCTATTAACTTTAAATGCTGTGGAATAGATTAAATATTTCAGGAAAAGATTTAGCTAGTTTATGTAACTATATATCTTAAGAACACAAAGCAGAGATGTTGCACTTGTGAGTAATTGAAGCATGATTGAAGATTAGTATCTCAAATCTTACTGAAGCTGGTTCCAAAAGTGCTTAGGAACAAACGAATCAGACAATGTCAACCACAGAACTGCTTTGAAGAAAAATAATCTATATTGAAAACTTTCATGAGTGGTGAGAAAGAACTGTAGAAAGACTTCAGCATTGTAACTCTTGCTTAAATGAAAATTAAGTTGCTGGGAAAAAAACCCTACTCTTGGTCAGTTTTTCCCCAGTGTATTCAGTTCAAATATTGCCTTCCAAAATCTGTTGTGAGATAGTGATGGAATAGCATGGTCAGGTAGTGCTATTAAACCAGAAAAAGAAGAGAATCCTTTTGTTAGATGATTCTTAATAATAATCTGGTCTTTAGAACTAAAAATCATCCAGACATTTCTGGAAATAGCATATTAGCTGAGCTAATACTATAACATTAAAAATCTTCACTGTTATAGCATTAACTGTAAATGTGAACATGCTTGGCAATAACACTTCCAGTATTCTTGTATGTGTGTTAAAAATTATGAGGGTGTATGTTGGGGAGGGGGGACAGTTACAAAACAAATTACTTTAGACAGTCTCATAGAAAGCCCTCCAGTCATGTATATTTAAATAACATCTAGGAAGAGCTGAATGCCTCTGGCTGAAAATGAGGTCTCAGATGGAGTAGCTTTGACAACTGCTGAAAAGTCTATTAAGGCTCTTGATGAGTGTGACCTAGCTTTTTGCAGTGGAAGAGAAGAACATACTGAATTATTCTTTAAAATGGATAATAATCTTTAACGATAATTTGTACTACGTCTTGCAAGTTTTCTTCTATGCCTATGTGTTCTGCTGCATTCAGTTGTTAGTTCTTGCCAATTATTAATAAATAAATAAATAAACCACCAAATGAAAGTTCATTCCTGTATAGATCACTATGATAAAATATGTTTATTTCCCATGTAGTGAATGAATAATATCTAAATCGTGTTGAGAAAGGCTACAACCCTATTCCAGAAACTTAGTTTTCTAATACGAGTTGTAATTTAAGCAAATGAGAAATCTGTATTAAGGGGGGGAAGAAAGTTAAATTGGTCTCAGGGATGAGAACTCTAATTTCTAAAGTTTGGTTTTTTTTTTTAAGAAGTAATCTATCAAAATGAAAAAAAAGTGAGGAAAACTATGTAATAAATACTGAATAAGTAGCTCAAAGGGGAGGTAGAGAGGACAGTGTAATAAAAATTAAAGAGTAATGGTCTCTCAGATTTTCAAAATGCATTCCAAGGCTGATATCTGGCATAACGGCATGATGCTTGGCCATCCTCTGACTGAGCTCTCTGATCCAAGAGTAGACTTTGGAAGAAAATGCATATACTATAAGCCTCTGGAGTGAACTCATAGTTTTGGTGTTAATATTTACAGACTGATATTGCAATTACACTTTCTGTTCTAAGAAGTTCCTGCAAAGTTAGCTCCCCTTGCTGTATCCACAGAGGAAGCACTAGGTAGCGGAGCTTCATTTCTGGCAGTCTCAATAGACCAGCAGTCTGTTAATTCACTCTCTGTGCACTGTCAGTGTCAAGTATGAGCTCAGGGGCCTCAGTTCTGATACTCAGGTGAATGATTTTCCTTAAAACAGAGCATGCTATCTGAAAAACTACAATAAAACATGATGCAGGGAATATCAGAAAGATATCATGCAATCAACTGGTGAAAGAAAATAAAGATGAGAACATATAAATAGACTCTCATTGTCTTATGGTAAATTTGTCATGTTCTGAGCCTACTTGATTTGAGGTAACATACCATGTGTGTTGACATTCGTATCTACTGTATGTCAGTGCACTAAGCAGTATCATTAGCAATAGTGAATCATCTTCACATTCTTGTCATAAAGTTTGGGATTGCTTGGTGAAAGTTGAGATGGTCTCAGCTGATGTGAGGATCTAGATGGCTTTTAAGGAGAAAAGTGCAAGTGATGTGACAAACCTGAGATGAGAAGGCAGTCAGATTTTTTTTCTTTTTTCCTTTCTCTAATGTGTATCTGTACTCAAGAGGACTGGTCTGGTCTTCCTTATTTGACCTGGTGCTTGTTGGTTCCCACCCTGCTCCCCTCCTTCCAAATAAGATGAGAGCAGGGGGAAAAGCGCCCCCAGCTTTTGCTTGGGTAAGCAGCAGGACCTGTGGCAGTCAGTGCTGACTTGGAGCTCTTCAAGGATCAGCAGTCTTAGTGATCCTGAGGGTTAGAAGGTGAAGCAATGGACGTCCAAGGCAGCAAAGTGAACAAAGTGAGTTATCCAGGGGTGGGTTTCAGTCACTTGTACATATGAGATGGAGACCACTGGGACAAGCATTTCTTCATTCTGCATAGGTTTTGTTCCTTCAGTGCAGCTCATGCTTCCAGCTGCTGCCACCCAGATGTCCTGTGGCAGAGAATGAGGAATATTCTTTCCCCAGAGAAAGGAAGGGAAAAAAGGCCTTAAAGACAAAAATTATTATTTTTTTAATTTATGTAGGTTTAAGAAAAAAGTGTTATTGATTTAGTTGATAAAAAAGGCAGAAGTTGTAGCATAAGTGTTATGTCTATCACAGCACTTTTGAAAGTTTATTCAAAGCCAATGACAGTAGTAGCACTAAAGAGTGGTTTTGTTCTGAGGCAACAATTAAAATATTTTTTTAAAAATTCTTCAGTTTCAAACAGTCTGTTGGGACAAGTGCAAATAATGGTAGAGTATGTAAGGTGCTAAAGAGTACTAGGGTATCAGAATATTTTTAAATGGTGCTGTTTTGACCTCTGATTGCAAGAAGGGAGGGTAAAATGCTTAACTGCGGATCTTTACTAACTTTCACTGTCTGTTGCTTCCCACCATTTTCTCCCTTCACCCACCCAGTTCTTTCATCTGTCTGAGGATGTTGTTAACGCAAACCAAGAAAAATCTTTTTTTCTCTTTCTTAAAACTGACAGATCTGTGTCATCTGTATAAGAATGGGGACAACTGCTACAAATAACTCAGAGATATTACATTTATCTTGATCACAATTAGGCTAGGACAGAGCCTTGAGCCATGCCATGTATCAGGTTAAAATTAAATATAAATCACTTGGCTGGTTGAGAGGGTTAGAAAATTTTTTACTGAAGTAAAGAGAGCTTTTAAGTAGCTGGTGAGGCATTGAACAAATTCAGCAATGCAAATAACCCTGTGTGACCTAAACTTACACTGCTGATGTCCTTACCCTGGGCCAAGAGCTGTTATAATAACAAGAAGTCTGTGTTACTTGGTGCATGCAGTCAGAGTATGAACAACTTGCCCATGTCCTCCCTTCCTGACAGGAGATGCTTCCAATGAAATGGGGAACAAACTAAGGTGATGTGCCAGAGGGGTTAAAGTAACGGGACAAATTTGAGTTTGTGGAGGATTTTCAAGGAGCAGTAATGTGTATGTTTGGAGTTTTGTGCTACGTTGTCAAAAGCCTTAGAATTAAGAAAATAACATTACACCCTAAGAAGATGCTATTAAGGCACATGGTGTAGCAGAAGTCATCCTGCCAGGCAGTGTGTAGTCTTGAATGAGTCAGTTTTATGGCAGTGTAAGGCCCTTGCCTGATCGCTGCCTTCAAGATTACACCAAGGCTTAGGCATAGAAAGCCTGCTTAAAGTTATGTAAAAAAAAGATTTTGCATGAGGGAAGGAGAGCCTGACCTAGTTGCTTATCATTACTGATAAACAGTGGGAAATATCACTGTAAATGCCTGTAGGAGAGGCAACAGCTCTGCAGGTAGGAGTCCTATAGAACGTCAGGAAGTGAATCTGACCTGAAACTGTTCTGCAAGGCTTTTTGAATTGGGAAGATGGGGTGGGGGCAGACCAAAGATCAGCAGGGGTGGTGTCATCTGATCTGGCTAGGCTGCTAGCTTTGGCTGCTTCTCTCTAGCCAGGGGACTCTATCTGATCTAGAGATGGCTAGTTCAGCTGGATAATGCAGAGTCTGAAATGGTATCTGTATCTCACTGTGATTCTCTCTGGAGATCACAGATTAATCAATCCATTTATTTTAAAAGTGAAGGCTTGTCTTGACCCCAGAAATACATAAG